CCCCACTCGAATGCGTTAAAAAAGCCGCGCCAAATTTCCGCAATATACCCTCTTTAGCAACAAAAACAGGGTAAGCTCCCTAGCCTACATGTCAGCCTGGGAAAGAGATCTGGGCCCCATAGTAGATCCCAAATACTGGACTGTCATCTGGGAAGCCACAGCGACGATCTCGATTTGCATCAACCACAAGGAACAAGCCTATAAGACACTCCTCAGATGGTACCTTACACCACTATACCTAAAAAATTAAACAGATCAACCACGACTCCTGCTGGAAAGGATGCGGGTGCAGAGGCACCTATATCCACCTCTGGTGGGAATGTACCCAGATATCTGCATTGTGGCACAAAGTGTCGCAGTTAGCGACGCGGATACTACAAACGGACATCCCAATGGACCCATGGTTGTGGCTCCTTTCCAGACCACTCCAGAACTCCCCACGAGCCCAAAACAAATTAATAGCAAAACTAGCCCTAGCCACTACACAGGTGATCGCAGAGAAATGGGGAAGCCCAGAAATCTCATCCCTTGACCAAGTCAAACACAAAATGAATGAAGCCAGGAAAATGGATAAACTGTCTGCACTCATACACGACACAACCAAACACTTCGACAAAATATGGGAACCCTGGATATACGAGCCCCCAGAGCAAACCACCAGACAACCCGCCATTTCTCCCAGCCCCCTTCCCTCTCTCCCCACCCTTCTGTCTATCCCCCTTCCCAACCTCACACACCCCAACTAACTTAACCTGTCTGACCAACCCTTACCCCCCTCACCTTACTCAATCTCATTCAAACACACAGCATAATGCAAAGACGAACACCCACATACCGTGCTGGACGCGGCGGCCCCGACCCACCGACAGGACCGACGACTCACCACCACACCTAACATTACAGACCACCCAACATGGGTACTCAACAACCACCACTCTCAGGCAACTCCGGCCCCAACACTTGTACACTAATCCCCCCACCCAAACCAACAGCACTCAAGATCAGCCTGCCACGTACTCACGGGAGTACAAAGGGGAGACAAAACCAGAGAGGAAGCCCAACCAGGACCCCAACTGAGGCTTCCTCCTCTACACTCTAAACAGACATGGGTACTCCATAAACAAACTATCGGGAGCGCTCATAACAACATAACACACGCTCACGGACAAGCTACCCTAACTCACAACAGCATACTCCCCCCTCCACTCTCTTGTGACACCCATCTCAAGGATCCCACAACCCCCATCCCTTAGAGGCGACCAACGAATCACACCCCCTGTGGCAAAAGACACACCCAACCCCATGAACAAACAGCATAACACACACTCGCTCCCTTACTACACAAAGGACCGAAGGGAGCACCACACATACCCTCACCAACGCACAATGTTAATCCCATTGGCTATATATACCCCCCATGACTCAGACTTACTGAAGGATGACCCCATACGAACCACCTAGGAAAGGTACTAACCCCACAAAGGACACCCTCACGAATCCACCCACATCAACTAAGATAGTACTATCTCGATCACCTGCATAGCATTGCAACAATAGGTATATAACGGAAGCTCAGAACTGTGTAACCAATACCACTGCAACAACGACCTTATCTTATTCTGTACCCTTTCCCCCACAATTAAACAAATATGTGAATAAAAATTAAGACACAATGAAACCAATATACACTGCAACCATCGATGATAAGCCTGCATACTTGCTCAAAATGTATGTTTGCCAATAGAATTCTATGTATGCTATGCAAAGAATGTACTAAAAACTTTAACCCCAATCCAATTTTCTATTCTGTATGCCCCATAACACAAAATCTTTAAAATAAAGAATTTATTTAAAAAAAAAAAGGTGTGCAGAAAGCAGGCAGAGAACTGTGATTTGTGTAAAAGGGTAAGGGTTATATACCATGTTGGGAGGAGTATTAGATTTAAAAGTTAAGCTCTTCATAATTGGGGGCGTGGCCTACCTGAGGAGCGAGCTGGATGCATCTGTGTAGTGCCCCGCTCCTACAACGCTGTCTAAAGCACACATAAGCCGAACACTTGACACTCCTTCTAAAATGGAGAAGAGAAACCCTAAGAAGCACCCTAAAAAGAGTGCCGAGCCTGGAACCTCGGCACTGGAGATATTGGCAGCCCAGAGACCCAGATCGATGGAGGACCAAAATGGCGCCGGTGTAGGCCTTAGTGGCCTACCTGAGGAGCGAGCTGGATGCATCTGTGTAGTGCCCCGCTCCTACAACGCTGTCTAAAGCACACATAAGCCGAACACTTGACACTCCTTCTAAAATGGAGAAGAGAAACCCTAAGAAGCACCCTAAAAAGAGTGCCGAGCCTGGAACCTCGGCACTGGAGATATTGGCAGCCCAGAGACCCAGATCGATGGAGGACCAAAATGGCGCCGGTGTAGGCATTAGTCCATCCTCGCCACGTGTGGCGGTTGGCGAAGAGCCTACCTAGGCTAAACTGGGCAAAGTCTGGACCTTCTTAGCGGGCGAAATTGAGAGGTCCACGACTGTACTATGGGCCGAGATCCACGCCCTCGTGGAAGAGCGACTGGAAGGTACCGCCAGGGCGCATAATGATGTTGTGGCTCAAGTCAAGCGATTAACAGCCGCATGGCAGAGAATGAGCTTGCGGTGGAGGACATCGCCAACCGGTCAAGACACATTAACATTCGGGTTAGAGGCCTACCAGAGAGGGAATGGAAAGGCCCCCTTCAAGACCTGCTGCTTGCCATATTTAAAACGTTATTGCCTGATATACCGGACGTGGCATATGGAGAGGGCGCATAGGGCTCTCCGGGCAATGAGGCCTGAAGCCAACTCCCTGAGGGATATTATCATCAAATTCCTGCATTTTCCGACCAAAAAGACCTTGCTTCGGAAGAGCAGAGAGGGGCCCATAAAGCACCATGGAGCATAACTTACCTTCTACTAAGACCTGGCGCTTGGCACTCTCCAACACCGCAGAGAATGGAAGCCCATCACTGAGGCCTTGCGCTGGGCCGGGATCCGGTACATGCAGGAATTTCCCTTCCATCACATGGCGTTCCGAGAAGGCAGAGTGTATACCTTATCTGTCGGAGGAGACCTGCAGCGCTTCTTTCGCGACCTGGGCCTTGCTCCGCCTCTGAATTTGCCTACAACCCCTTATAACCAAATGACAGGAGGCTGGAGCTCGTGGACACTGAGATCTGCAAATGGTATTGTATTGGGGTGTTCCACCACACACTACACGTCTTTAACTAGGGGGGCACCAGGACTGTTTGGAACAGGGGGATCTAGGGATGGATCGGTTGCAGGGTGGATCCGGATCTGATATAGGCTCTAAGTCCTAGCCCAGCGAGGGCCGACAGAGAGCTGGACATGGGGCTCATATTTGGGTGGCTGCTAACGAAGAGATGGAGGGCGGGAACCGGGAACTGCACACTGAGCGCAACCACTACAGATGCCTGTTGCCACGGAATTAGGGGGGCGCACAGACCTCCTGACTGTGATGGGGCCTGAGTCTGACACCCTGGGAGGCTGGCACACGGGGAGTCTCAGTTACGAGATGCAGGACCTTCAGTGCAAATGGGAATGCAAAAGTAAGCACAGACTCCATGGGTATACTGAATCGCTGCTCTATCAGTAACTACCAGTGTGTCATAGCAGGGATCGTTACGGCATAGCCAGGGGAGGCGATCAGGGGAGGGTGGGGGTTTAAACTTAGCTGTGTGCATATTGATTGTAACACTTGTAAATTGTTCTGCAATGCATATTAATTGTAACACTTGTAAATTGCTTGCCACACTCTGTTGACTATATTCCTACTGTCCCCGAGTTTTATTTAACCGGCCCCACCTCCCCTTGACTAAGCAAGCACACTGGCCATATGAAATGGTCTGGGATGACCAGCAATAAGGTTGGTCTGATTGATGATTGCCCCACGCGGTTCCGCAGGGCACCTAGGAGGACATGTTACAGGCAATACTGCAGAAGACACCAGGCAGGGCGAGCCTAATATACTTTCCCGCAAGCGATACAAGGGGGGTGGGGTTTCAGAGTTGACACGACAGGGCTAGTATACTGATAAATGCTCAGGAATTGCAAATCCCCTGGGTACTGGAAGCAGCTAAGATGGAAGGGGCGGTTCCCTATCGCATGTATCTCCACTGGACGAGGGGGGTGGAAGGGCGGACAGGGGAAAACTCTGAACAGGGAAGGGAACAGAGGAGAGCGCTCAGATATGTGGGGGAGGGAGAGGGAAACCTTATATTAAAAGTATGTGTTAAATTTTTTTTTTATATATATCACAATTTAAAAAAAACAAACAAACAACAAAACAAACCAGAAACATTACGCAATGTGCGTGGGTGGGGCATGGGGGGGGGGGTTTGGCGGACACACTCTGTACATGAGCAACGACAGGCTTACCGGACAGCGCAATCCCAAGACTAGACACATGGCAGTAACCATAACTTCGCTTAATGTAAAGGGCATGAATGCGTCAACCAAACGACGCCTCCTATTCCGTGAATTAAAGAAGATGAAGTCTGATATTGCATTCATCCAAGAAACACATCTACCCAAACATGTGAACCTTAAATTAAGGGATCACACCTTTGCGGTGACTCGTGAAGCTCGCGCACACCGCAAATGCAACGGGTAGCGATTCTGATAAGGAATAGCTGCCCACTGCAAATCACATCGACTGACTTGGACACAGACGGACGTTACCTCATAGTTTCGGGCACCCTGTATTCTCACACAATACATCTGATCAATGTATATGCACCTAATCAGCCAGACCCCGGGTTTTCGGACACCCTACAATCTACACCCTGTTCCAAATTAATATGCAAATTCTATTTAAGTGTCACAAAGATTAAATATCTGTTTTTCAGTTTAACTCATGGATGGCATTGTGTCTCAGGGCTCTTTTGATCACTGACAACAATCTCGGACACCTGTGATAATTAGATTGCCAGGTGAGCCCAATTTAAGGAAAAACTACTAAAGGAGGGTGTTCCACATTATTAAGCAGAGCACCATTTTCATGCAATATGGGGAAGAAAAAGGATCTCTCTGCTGCCGAAAAGAGTGAAATAGTTCAATGCCTTGAACGAGGTATGAAAACATTAGATATTTCACGAAAACTTAAGCGTGATCAGCGCACTATTAAGAGATTTGTGGCTGATTCAGAACACAGACGGGTTTGTGCAGATAAAGGCACATTGAGGAAGATTTCTGCCAGATCCATGCATTGGATCAAGAGAGCAGCTGCTAAAATACCATTACATAGCATCAAACAGATATTTGAAGCTGCTGGTGCCTTGGTGTCCCACGGACATCAAGGTGTAGAGTCCTCCAGAGTCTTGTAACTGTGCATAAACCTTCTATTTGGCCACCACTAACCAATGCTCACAAGAAGAAACGACTGCATTGGGCAGAAAAATACATGAAGATTAATTTTCAAACAGTCCTGTTCACTGATGAGTGCCGTGCAACCCTGGATGGTTGGTGTATGGCCACCCTGTTCCAACAAGGCTGCGACGTCAGCAAGGCGGTGGTCATGTTTTGGGCCGGAATCATGGGAAGAGAGCTGGTCGGTCCCTTTAGGGTCCCCGAAGGTGTAAAGATGACCTCTGCAAAGTATGTGGAGTGTCTGACTGACCACTTTCTTCCCTGGTACAGAAGGAAGAACTATGCTTTCCGTAATAAAATCATCGGACAGTTTGCTGTCTCCTGGGTGCTCGGGTCCGGCATGTTGCTGACAGAGTGGATGGATTATTGGGAGGGGCTGGGGATGACCCAGCGGTCATGGTCCATGTTGGTACCAATGACAAAGTAAGAGGAAGATGGAAGGTCCTAAAGAATGATTTCAGGGAATTAGGTAGCAAACTTAAGAAAAGGACCTCCAAGGTGGTATTCTCTGAGATATTACCTGTGTCACGCGCTACAGTGGAAAGGCAGCAGGAGATTAGAGAGGTCAATGTGTGGCTTAAGTCTTGGTGCAGGAAGGAGGGTTTTGGGTTTTTAGAGCACTGGGCCGACTTTGCAATTGGGTACAACCTTTATAGTGGTGATGGATTGCACCTAAACGGGAGAGGGTCTGCAGTGCTGGGGGATAGGATGGCTAGAAGGTTGGAGGAGATTTTAAACCAGTAGTAGGTGGGGAGGGTCATGGCAATCTACAAAATGGAGATAGGACAGAAAGGAGATGGGCTTTAGCACAGTATAAGGGGGGTGGAAACGGGGGGAGGGGCAAGCTCAGAACAGAGAAGCTGTGTAATGGTGAAAATTCACAAAATATACAAGTGACGCATAATATTAAATATATGCTTACTAATGCAAGGAGCCTAAATAACAAAATGGGGGAACTAGAGGCATTAGCATACACTAAACAATATGATATAATAGGCATAACTGAAACATGGTGGGATGAGACACATGACTGGGCAGCTAACTTAAATGGGTACATGTTATTTAGGAAGGATAGGAAAAACAAGAAGGGTGGTGGGGTATGTTTGTATGTCAAACATGATTTAAAGCCAAATGTTAAGCAAATGGAATGCGAGGAGGATAATGTGGAAGCTTTATGGGTAAATATCTGCTTGGGGGAAAAGAAGGGAAACCAACTATTGGTTGGGATATGTTATAAACCACCTAATGTTAATATTGACGAGGAACAACAGCTGTTTGAGCAAATTGAGAAAGCTGCAAATCTGGGTAACACTTTAATTATTGGAGATTTTAATTATCCAGATATAAATTGGGACAGAGGGACTAGTGCCTCAGCAAAGGGAATTAGGTTTTTAAACTTGTTAAATGACACCTTCATGTCACAACTTGTACAAGCACCAACTAGAATGGATGCTTGTCTGGACCTGGTTTTAACAAACAACGTTGATCTTTTGACCAACATTCAAGTAGGTGAGCACTTGGGAAATAGTGATCACAATATAGTGTCCTTTGAAATAAACTCAAAAAAACAAAAGCACATGGGGAATACTAAAACATATAATTTTAAAAAGGTCAATTTCAATAAGTTAAGGGAAGCTTTACAATATATTGACTGGCATAAACTCTTTAGTGAAAAGAACACTGAGGATAAATGGATCATCTTCCAACAAATATTAAAATGGTACATTTCTCAGTATGTACTGTTGGGAAATAAATATAAAAGAAACAAATTAAAACCAATGTGGCTTAGTAGAGAAGTAAAACAAGAGATTACAACTAAGAAAAGGGCATTTAAAGCATTTAAATCGGACAAATCAGATGCATCTTATAAAAGATATAAGGATGCAAATAATGCGTGCAAAAAGGCAATTAGACTTGCTAAACTTCAAAATGAAATAATGATAGCTGAAGAGAGCAAAACCAACCCCAAAGCATTTTTTAAGTACATAAATTCTAAAAAAAAAAAAAAATGAAAGTGTAGGTACACTGAAAACTGAAACGGGGGTGTTAGTTAATGAAAACTAGGAAAAGGCAGGAATTTTAAATAACTATTTCTCCTCCGTATATACTAAGGAAGAACACATGGCAATAGATGTGGAAATGATTGCTACTAAAAACTTGCAGAATAATTGTAATTGGTTAACTTAAGACAAGGTGCTGCAGCAACTAAAGAAAGTTAATATAAACAAAGCTCCAGGGCCTGACGGTATCCATCCACGTGTACTTAAGGAACTAAGTGCAGAAATAAGTGAACCTCTGTTTTTAATCTTTCAAGATTCTTTTCTTTCAGGAAGTGTTCCGGAGGATTGGAGGAAGGCAGATGTGGTTCCTATATTCAAAAAGGGTTCAAAATCCTTGTCTGGAAATTATAGACCTGTGAGCTTAACTTCTGTGGCTGGTAAAATATTTGAAATGTTATTAAGGGATAATATTCAAGAATTCCTTGAGAAGAACATGGTTATCAGCAAAAATCAGCATGGTTTTATGAAGCACAGGTCATGTCAAACTAACTTGATTGCATTCTACGAAGAAGTAAGTAGAAGTATAGATCAGGGTGTTGCAGTGGATGTGATCTATTTGGATTTTGCCAAGGCATTTGATACAGTTCCACACAATAGATTAGTGTTCAAACTCAAAGAAATCGGTCTAGATGAAAATGCTTGTTCTTGGGTAGAACATTGGCTTAAAAACAGAGTACAGGCACTAGCCACTAGGCGAGCAATCGCAGAGAAATGGGGGAGCCCAGACACCCCACCCATCGCCCTCATCCAACAGAAAATTAATGAAACTATGAAAATGGACAAACTTACCGCCCTTGTACATGACACCACTAGACACTTCGACAAAATATGGGAGCCATGGATCTTCGAATTCCCAACACTATAAGGCACTCCCCACCAAGGGACGAACCAGGCGGGTGGTGGCCCCTGGGGAGTGATAACCTCGAGGACCGCTCCAGGCCCCACACCTCACCAACCAGGCTGCTTCTCTCCCGGAACCCCCACATCCACAGCGAGAGACGCCCAAACCGTCCACCCCAACCACACCAGACAAACACAGTCACACCAATCTACATGAAATCCACCACACACAACCCACCCCACCGCACCAAACCGAATGACCCCCATGAGTCGCTCCAACTCCGCCAACACCAGACCACGGGCACTAAACACATAAGGACATACGAAACAACCAGCCAACGCAAACAGGGGCTCTAACTGGAGCATCTCCAACCCAGACCACCACCCTGTCTGGGATCATGAACGCACCCACCACAAATACCGCACCACACGAGAACAACAAGTGGGAGGCACTCTCAGACCACCCCCGACAGAAACCACAACCCCAGACTTAAGGAGCAAATCACCACTTACGACGGAGCCAACAGCGGTTAACCACCACCTACCACACACGGATCAGGAAACACCGACCGAGACCCTGACCAACACACTCTACTCTAGGTGACAGCCCAAGTAGAATCAAACATAAAGTCCATGGGAAGGACCACAATCGTCCTCAGACCAACACCGCCCAACCACCAAGGACCCACAAACTAATAGTGCTCATGCCAAGATACATGACACCAGGAGACGACAGGCCTATACACTAGGCAATAGGACTAGCACCCCTACCAGACCCACCCCCCCCCCTTCCCTCATGGTACCCCTAACTCCCCCCAAAGGGAACCTCATAAACACACCGACCAAACACTGAACCAAACGGCACACTACGCACACAACTATGAAACTTACAAACCGAAAATGTTCTTGTTATAGCTGTTAAAATATCATATACTGCAACACAATGTTACACCCCTCTACAAATAAGCTTTAGAACCCTCTTTCGGAAACGGGACCAAAGTCCTACAGCAACATCGAAGGACAGCAACAGTTACGGAACAAAAACTATATAATTACTTCTTCTTTATGACTGTTTTGTAACACATTAATGCAACTCATGGTCTCTGTGAAATTATCCTTGCTCCCAAGTTTTCTTTTCTGTACCCTAACCTCCATATTATTGAAAAATTCAAAATAAAGAATTTATAAAAAAAAAAAACAGAGTACAAAGAGTTGTCATTAATGGTAAATTTTCAAGCTGGACAGAGGTGGCAAGTGGTGTCCCTCAGGGGTCTGTTCTGGGACCCCTTCTATTTAACATGTTTATAAATGATCTTGAAGACCGCATTGAAAGTCATGTTTCAGTGTTTGCAGATGACACCAAACTTTGTAAACAATACAATGTGAGCAAGATATTACTTTGCTGCAGAGGGATTTAGATAGACTGGGGGACTGGGCACTCAAATGGCAGATGAAATTTAATGTTGAAAAATGCAAAGTTATGCACTTCGGCGTAAAGAATACACAAGCAACGTATACCCTTAATGGAAGCGAATTAGGGATAACAACACATGAAAAGGACTTGGGAATTGTTATAGACAACAAACTATGCAACAATGTGCAATGTCAATCAGCAGTGGCCAAGGCCAGTAAGGTATTGTCATGCATGAAAAAGGGCATTCATTCTCGGGACAAGAATATCATTTTGCCTCTTTATAAATCACTGGTAAGACCCCATATTGAATATGCTGTGCAATTTTGGGCACCTGTTCTAAAGAAGGATATTATGGCACTAGAAAAAGTGCAGAGGCGGGCTACAAAATTAATAAAAGGAATGGAACATATCGGCTATGAAGAAAGGTTAACAAATTTAAACCTATTTAGTTTAGAAAAACGTCGCCTGAGAGGGAT